GAGTCGAAGCTGGCAGCCTCTGCTGTCTGAGATTGCAGCTGCCAGTAAGCGCTCTTGGAGCGGGGCTGTGGAGGACGGCTAGGGCTGCCCCCCCATGAGGCCCAAACCAAATTTATGTGCGGCCCAAACCAAATTTTCCTCTTCTAATGTGGCCCAGGGAATGTGAAAGGTTGGGCACCCCTGGTCTAAGGAATGGAGGCACAGTGGTTTCCCCAGGCCAAAGAAGTTCTGAGTGCGAAGGTCGGTGCAGAAGCAAATGGCAACAGTTCTTTGGAATACAGTAAGAAGGGAGTTCTGCTGGTGGACTACCTCCAGCAGGGTTCAACCATCCATGCAAAAGATTACCGCGCTTCATTGACCAAGTTGAAGCAAAACATCAAGGAAAAACATGGAAAGCTCTCCAAAGGTGTCATCCTGTTGAATGACAACACCTCCGTCACGCACTGAAGGTGAAGCAGTGGAAAAACTGACGTCCTTAGGCTTTCAAGGGATGCCCCATCCACCCTATTCTCCCGACCTGGCTCCTTCTGACTATTATCTGCTCCCCAAACTCAAAAGATACCTAAAGGGACAACGATTCTGGAGGAAAATAACACTGCAAATGAGTGGTTACACCAACAGTCGGAAGAATTTTATTTGCAGGGACTTAAGAAGTTGCAGGACAAACGTCGCAAGTGCATTGACTTCCGGGGGGGGGGGATATGTAGAATAGTGTGGCAGTTACAGCTTCCTAGCTCATTTTTTTTTCTGGGAAAGGCTCAATATTTGTCAGCACCCCCTCGTAAGTTTTGTGTGCCAGGCCGAGATAATGGCACTTGGTTCCCCTTAGCGCGCAATCTTAGCTGACATTGTGCAGCGCTTTCCTACCCGGCTTGACGCGTAGCGATAGTGAAAGCGATAGATAAAATTCAGCTCTATGCCTTTGCTCGCCAAGCATCAACTATTTTCACTTCATCCGGCGAAAACAAAAGAAAATACAATGGGGGGAAATGTGGCGCGTTAAAGACTAGCCATTATAGTTTGACGAGGGCTTTCCTGGAACAAATCCACTTTCTCAGGCAGATCCGCGCTCTCTCTCGCTCTCTCCCACACCTCTTCCCCGCCACCAGATTTTAGGCTCCTCGGGGCAAATACTCGTCTCGTTACTCATTGAGACACCATTCACACGGATGTGAAAACACCGCCCCGTGTTTCCTCCCACGTTATTTAACCCGTTCTTCTTTGGTGCCATTTCGCGATCCTTTCCACCCGAGGCTTTTGTTCTTCGGGCGTATCATGAGAAGAGAAGATTTACTGGAAAAGACACATCCCACTGGGAACAGCGAAAAGGAAAAGAGGCAGAGAGAACGCGCGATGCATTGGCCCAATCCAGGAATCCACGGGCTTGACTTTGCAAGACCTGAGCAGGGCCTGTTAATAACAGAAGCGACTGGAGGGCACCCTCAAAACTATCCCAATGCTTCCACCCCCACCCCTTCTTAAAAGACGACAATACAAACGGGAAAGAAGGGGCATCATCCTAATAACAATATTCTTTTTCTGTCCCACCGATCTTTTCCTTTCCATCTTCCCCAAAGGTTTCGTCTTTGCAAGACAGGGCAGTTTTTGGGAACGGGTGGCGATGCCCTGGTGCTTTTTTTTTTTAAGCCACCGGGACAAGAAGCGGTAAGGAAGAGGTGGAAAGAGAAGCAAGCGGTCCCTGTTCTTCTCGAAATCCACCCAAAAGGGAGCAGAATCGGAACCAGGACGAGGGCGGCCAGCTGAGAATCGCGGACCAGGACCAGCGAGGGGAAAGGAAGACACTCGAGCAAGCAAAACCTGATCGCCGGAGGAATGCCCGAAAGCAGGCAAGGCAGGGGTGGGGGGGCAAGAGCCGGATCCGGCGCTCCAAAGGGGAGCTGGAAAAGAGGGAGGCGGAGAAAGAGAGACCAAGGCGGGCAGGGGACGCCACGAAAGCTTCGGAGCGCCCGATCGCCGCCACTCACCCAACTCGGCCCTTCCCGGGTTTTCCCCCTCCGACCCACCCGGCGCCCGCGCTCGGCTCCCCGGCCTGGGGGGCCCAAGGCCAGGGAGGGAAGGCTTGGCCCGATCCGGCGCGCAAGCCACGAACCCGCCATCGGCAGAAAGAGGAGGGGGGCCGGCCTGGTTGCTCGGAGGGCTTGCTTCTGTCTGGAGAAGGGGGACCCACGAGGAAGACAACGGGCGGGGATCCCGGCTCCGCCTTTCTTTCTTTCTTTCTTTCTTTCTTTCTTTCTTTCTTTCTTTCTTTCTTTCTTTCTTTCTTTCTTTCTTTCTTTCTTTCTTTCTTTCTTTCTTTCTTTCTTTCTTTCTTTCTCCTCCCCCCTTTTTTCTTTTCTGATAAAGAAGGGTCCAGGGGAAAGCCACGCCCCTTACCTACAAAGCCCCCCCCTCGGATGGACAGCGGAGGGTCCAGGACTCTGCACGCGCTCAGAGGCATGATTGTGGCTTCACTTGTTCTAGAATACGCGTAGGCAAGTTGTTCCTTTTGCCCGGAGAGGGAAGACTGAAGAGAGGACGGATATATTTTTGTTAGGAGTTGCTCTAGGGAAGTATTTGAAATAAGGGGTGTAACTCTTTCAAAAAAAAAAAAAAGATTGCAAGTCTGGAGGGGAAATATCTGGCTTCTGCCACTCCAGAAATCCCCTGGAGAAACTGAGCCGTAACATCAGAGGAAACCATCGAGGCTTTCTGGCTGAAGTGGCTTTAAAACCAAAAGCGGCCAAAGCTGGAATCTGAAGCCAGGTTTTTTCCTGCTCAGAGCTCTTGCGCAGAGCCAGCATCCTCCTGACAGAGCAGCATCCTCCCTGTTGTTTGAACATGCTCAGTAGCTGATCTGGAGACACACGATCAGGGTACCAAGAGCCCCTAATTTGGGCCGTGGTTTGTTAGCTTCTTTTTGACCCCTGGGAAGCGATACTGCCGTGTAGGTTCCTAAGAGCAAAGGGCAGAAGAAGCTTCTACATAAAGTGGTGCCTCGCTAGACGATGATAATCCGTTCCACTGAAATCGCTGTTTAGCAAAATCATTGTCTAGCGAAAAGCATTTTCCCCATTGGAATGCATTGAAACCTGTTTAATGCGTTCCCATGGGGGAAGAATAGTCGTTGTCTAGTGAAGATCAGCCATAGGAAAGCGCTTTGCGAGCCGCCGATCAGCTGTTTAAATCGCTGTCTTGCAAAGCTTAGGCCCCGAAAACACCCATTTTGAGAGCATGGAGGGAGCTGTCAAAATCGTCGTCTAGTGAAAATCGGTTTGCGAAGCAGGGACCAAACACTGTCCAGCGGAATTCCCCCATAGGAATCACTGTTCTGCGATCGCAAAAAGCCAATGTCTAGTGAAAAAACTGTCATGCGGGGTAATTGTCTAGCGAGGCACCACTTGTACCTGTGGCTGTTCCACTCTGGAGACGTGGCGGTGGTAGGAGACTCTTCTTCAGATCCTGCCTCCCTCTTGGCCACGTAAGGGAGCGGTTTTCCTCCTGGCCTTCTGGATGGGCCCCACATCCACTTAGCCGCAGACAACAGTCCCACAAGCCGTGGGAGCGGGGCCACTTGCCACTGGGGAGGTGCCCGTCTGCCCCGCCAGCCTCTTCCTTGCAAGGACTGCTGGTGTGCCGAGCTTGCTATGGCATGCATGCGAAATATGATAAGGGACACCATCGCTATGGAGGCAGAAGTCACTAAGAAATGTGGCAGAGCAGATGAGCGCTCAGACAATCCGTGAGTCCAGCGTGGCCTACTTGGGTTCTCAACAGGGTTGGGACTTGAGCCACGGGACTCACCGTCAAGTCAGACTTGGGTTGCACTGGTGACTCAACTCCGACTGGGTTCCCCCCCCCCAGTGACTTGGACTCTCTGCTCATGATGCGTAGCCCACCCCTCTCATTTTTCAGGGGAGAAGATACTGTTTTTAAAAGGGACTCTGGACCAAAGACTTGCCATCTTCTCTGGTTCTCAAGACCCATCTGTGCACTAAAATCCTCCCGGCTGACACAATCTGTGGGCTGCTAAGGAGGTTTCAACAAACCTCTTGTAGCTGTTTGCCTTGGGATGGACAAACAAACAAACAAACAAACAAAGAAAAGGTATTGCCAGGTGACCTTGGCAGGCCCACAGCTGAAGGAGCCTCCCTGCATCCTTACTTCTAATTTGTTTTATTTATTTATTTATTTATTTTATACCCTGCCTATCTAGTCAGTTGTGACCACTCTAGGCGGCTTACAACATACACTATAACATTAAACATATGACATATCACATAACATAATTTGCATTAAAAAATAACATAAAATAAAATTTTCCCAAAGATGGCAAGAAACAGGGTTTATTATAGCAGAAAGGAAAAAGAATTAAGAAAAAGTATAATTGGGTATTAGCTGGAAAGGGGGAAGGCCTGCCTGAACATCCATGTTTTCAGTTGTTTCTTAAAAATACCCAGCGAGGGGGATGCGCGAATCTCAGGTGGTAAGTTGTTCCACAGGCGAGGAGCCACCGCCGAGAAGGCCCGGTTTCTTGTTTTTTCCTTCCGGGCCTCCCTCGGTGTCAGGCTCCTCAGCCTCACCTCCTGACTCGCACGGGATTTCAGAAAAGCCATTTTCTTCAGCCCATCCCTTGTCCTGGTCTCTCACAGTTTTTTTTTGTGTGTGTGTTAAACATTACTCAACAAACAGGTAAAAATATTTCTTTATTATGATTAACATGGGGAGAAACCTGACCAAGGTTTGTATCCAGAGTCATGGGATCAATGGGAAGAAATGTATATTATCCCATCTCAAACCTGTCGTATTTACCACATTTTTTTTCCTGGCATTCCTTGGTGGTCTCTCATCCAGGTAGTCGCTTGAAAGCGAACCCTGCTTCAGCTTTCAAGTCCAGCATCCTTAGGATTACTGGCATCCAAAACAGCTTTCTTATTTACTTTACCAACATTGTATTTCTTCCGCTTGGGACTACATGAGCTGTTGATGGAGTTTTATGTGCTTCGCGAGTCAAAGGAGAAACAAGCGGTGGGTGAAAGAGGAGTGGGAAGACCGTTTGAGCGATGGTGGGGTAGGTCGCAAAGAAGTACACCCGTTGTGAGTGTGGTTGCGTGCGTCTGAACGAGAGATCCAGCCTGTTATTCCTGGCAGTTAGAGCAATGAGCTTGAGCTCCTCCATAGCCCCGGCAGTCGGGACCCAAGCACTGGCAGCAAGCGTTGTGGAACCAGCGATAGCGCCACGCTCCCACCGACTGGCAAGCCGACCGGCATCGGCTCATAGACAGGCACTCGTTGAAGTAAATGGACTGGCAAGGTGGAGCTGTGGCGTTGAGGCTCTCCGCATCGGGGAACACCAAGCCTGCAACCGAGAAGGGGACATTTCACAGCCATTGCGGTGAGCCCAGAATAATGGGTGCCGCTGGCATCTTCTCCACCTTGACCTTAAAAAAGGCGCTTTGTAGGGGACTAGATCAAAGGAAAGCTGAACTCTCCCCTGGAGGCAAAAATATTGAACCTGAGGCTGTCCTGCTTTGGGTACATCACTAGAAGGGGGGGATTCTCTGGAAAAGACCATAAGGATGGAAAAAGTGGAAGGCAGCAGGAAAAGAGGAAGACCCAATACGAGATGGACGGGCTCCCTAAAGGAAGCCACAGGCTTGGTATTATGAGAGCTGAGCAAGGCTTTGAGGAGAGGACATTTTGGAGATTCATAGGGTCGCCATAAGTCGGAGGCAACGTGGCAGCACAAAACAACAACAGCAATAGTTCCCACAATGTCCCTAGATGTTCTCAAACTAAAACTCCCAGCAGCCTGCACCACTAGCTGTGCTGGCCAGGATTTCTGGGAGCTGTAGTTGAAGGACACCTGGCAACCCAAGCTTGAGAAGCATTTACTCCCAGAATGGTGAATTATGGGATTTGTAGTCCAAGAAACCCAAAAATCCCATCCTCAATGGCTCTTTCTTGGTTGTTCCTCTGCATTTCAGCTGTGCTTTATGATCCTTCCGGCCCATCTCCTTTTTTGAAGGACAGAGCCGTGCGCGTGGCACACACGGATCCTGCGCTCCCCTGGCCTGACCAGCTGGCCTCATAGCCAGTGGAAGGCAGTGCCTCATCACCAGGACTGAAATAAAATTCACTTGCTAGCTCCATCCGCTTCTGCATACATCATGGAGGCCAGAGCATCGCCCTTTGCCCCAGACATCGAAACGCTTTGGGGGGTGATCTCTACTAGCTTCTCATCTTGGAAATTCCGATTTCTGTAGACTGGTGGAGAAGCTTAACGGTGCGCGGGTGGGCCTGTTTATTTCGAACTCGCCACTCCCCTGTGCAGCCAGCGCACTGTGCATCTTATCCCCCCTAACTGAGCCATCCAGAATTTCCCACAATCCTCCTCCAAGAGCAGGCACCTCCCAGCCCTTCCTGTCCTGCTCACCTACCTGTGTGGGGCCCCAGCAGGAGGTGGTCCGTTTCCACATGGTTCTGCTGCAGCTCCTCTTCCACCGGCAGAGTCAAGACGCTCCAGCCCATGGGGGAGTCATTGTCCGAGATGGCCGTGAGGGCCCGGAAAAGGGAGGGCACAGGGGACATCAGGTTATGCATGGAGCTTCGCTGGACGGACCGAGGGGCGGACGCGGGGCGTTCCTCACAAAGACCTTCGTGGGAGAAGGGAGAGCCAACGTTTCTCCTTCTGTAGGATCCAGTTAATTTGGAGCGGCTGGGCAAGATCCTGACTTGATGGGCCTCTAAGCCAGCGGTTCTTAATCTTTGTTACTCGGATGTTTTTGGCTGGGCAAGATCCTGACTTGATGGGCCCCTAAGCCACTGAGCTATCCAGTAGCTACTGGAAACATTGCTTTTTTTGGACTACAATTCCCAGAATCCTTTGGGGGAAAAGGTAAGTCAACAGAGGGTAGGGTGTGTTTGTTTTTCTAACACTGACCAATAGATTCACCTCTAGATTTTGGGGGTCCCTCTAAATTTTGTTCCCCTGGCAATGCCTTGGTGGCTCCACCCTCTGTTGGAAGAGGTAGCACCTTCAGTGGTGACCCAACCCTTTTAACCAAAGATGGCTGCCATTGACTCTGGACCCTCTGCATCTGAAACACGTGTTCTGCCCCTACGCCACACCCTCTTTCTTTACCTCCCACCTACCCAAAATTGGCTAAAAACCAATCAGCAAATCATGCAGGCGCACCAGAGCAAAATAATTCAGCCTCCTCCATCCTGAAGTTTAGAATTCTCGGAGAACATGACCAGCAAAAGCTGTTCCAATGCTAGCAAAAGAATTACTTTTTATTTTTTTTAAGTGTCCTGCGCTGTCAAGTCAGTTCTGAATTATGGCTTCGCTTTTCAGGGTTTTCCAGGTAGAGAAGACTCAGAAGTGCTTTACCCTTCCCTTCCTCTAGGGGCGCTCTGGGACGCCGGTGCAGCTTGCCCGAGGCCACCCAGGCTGGCTCTAGTCACGGGAGGCACAGTGGGGGGAATCGAACCCCCAGCCTCTAGCTCCATAGGAAGATGGCTAAACCATTGAGGTACAACTCTGGCAATCCCCCTGCTAGGATGGTCTGTGGCCAGGGGCTTCTGGGAACTGGCCAAATGTATCAAGCTTTGCCTGTTACTCCATTTCTTCCACTGTCTTCACCCCGCCCGCCATAAAGATACAGATCTCTTGATGTATCCCCACCTCCACCAGCATGGTGTGCCAGTTAAGGCTTGGGGCTCTGTGAACCCCAGGAATGTACTCACCCACACATTCGCAGCATGACTCCCACAGGTTGCCCAAGCAAAAGGCGCACTCCCGACAGCACGGGCAGCCGGCACGGTTGGCTTCGCACTGGCACACTTCCTGCCAAGAGATGCCCGGAAGAACAGTTCAAGCAACCACGAGGCTCATCTTAAGGTGATCATCACTTCTCCAGCTGTGCCCCAACCGGAGAGCAAGACGTAATTCACTCTGTGAAGTCAGGGTAGCCCTCCTCGAGAAGGAGGTTGATTGCTGCCTCTCTGTCTGATGCTGCGCGCCACAAAACAGCCCCTGCTACGGATGGATCATTTCCACCCACCACTGAGAAAAATGATCACATGCTATTGAGAAAACATGATTTTTGTGGTTTTCAGTGCTCTGAACCACCCCTTTCAACTTGGAAGGGTAGGGGACATGTGGTTCGGTAGCCACAAGTTCGGGAAAGGCTTCCCTGATCAGTAGAGAGCCAACATACTGATAAGAGGATGCTAGCATGTGGAGTTGAACTATATTGAATTATATTGTTCATGAATGTTCCTCTTTCCAGCATTTTGGAGGACCAAGGGATACTGTATTTTCTGTGTACAGTATAAGACGCCCCCATGTATAAGATGCCCCCCACTTTTCTAACCCAAATTAAGAAATCCAAGTGGGGCTTAGCAAATATAGGGTAAAAAGGATCAAAGTGCTGCAGGATGGCTTTGATCCCTGCTTTCTCCCTTTGTGCTAAACACCACATGGCTTAGCAAAAGGAGGGGGAAAGGGATCGAAGCAATTCCATGACTGCACAATCATTTTGATCCCTTTCCCTCTTATACAGCCACAGGTTTGCTTTGATCCTTCCCCCCTCCTTTTGCTAAGCCCCATGGGACTTAGCAAGCAGAGGGGAAAGCAGGGATCAAAGTGATCCTGCAGCACTTTGATCCCTGATTTCCTTTTGCTAAGGGTTAGCAAGTGGAGGGGAAAGCAGGGATAAAAGCCCTGCAGGATCACTTTGATCCCTGCTTTCCCCTCCACTTGTTTTTTTCCTCCTCAGCTTACTTCTGTGTATAAGACAACCCTCAATTTTAGTCTAAAGATTTTAGACAACAGTATAGTTTTATACACGGAAAAATATGGTATCTTCTCAAGAAGTAAAATACCACAAAATGAGCTTAGTGGACAATTATTTAGGCTTGGAGCTCATCAGTGACCCCAAGGATCCAAGATTTTGACTATTTAGATGGACTTTTTATTCAACACTTCCAGACCTTAGACTTTAATCTTTTATGAGTAAAAACACTTAACACTTCCAGACTTTAATCTTTTATGAGTAAAAACACTGGACTGCCCATGTTTATACCAGAAAACTATTATTATTTACTTGCTTAGTGTCAGACAGAACATTGTGAACGTATATTATTTGACGGTTTGATATAAGTTGTTGATACACTTTTGTTGATTTTTTTTGCATATTATACACTAATGTTCTGAGTTTTGTTTAGCTGCAGTACAGAGTTTCCTGTGTTTGTTTATCTTCCATTCAGATCAAAGGCACGTGGACACTACAGTTCTGGCATCTCACCTGCAGGAGGCACTTACTAACATCACTGGCACAGAGTGCCTTATTGCATCCATCAGCAGCAGACACTACCATACAGGTTGCTGACACCAAAATCAAGACTACGCAGGGGGACATGGCTACCACGGGCAGGACAGAGGAGGCCAGACACACCTAGAAGGGAAGGGAAACAAAAACAAACAAAACCAACAACAAACAAAAACAAACAAACAGAGGGAAGGAGCAAAACATTTCTTAGCTGTAAATGCCTCTCAACATCATATTCCAAAGTTTGTGGAATTGTCTTGCCTGCTACCATTCATATGTTTAAAAGCCATTGATGGTGCTAAAGGATATGGGAGGATAAGGAAGGGCTTAGTAACATGTATTTTATTTATTTATCCTAAATATTTGTCTCCTTAAAAAGGAACCAAGGCAGCTTACAAAATTAAAAGGACAATATTTAAAAGCTAAAAACAATAAATATACAAGTACTGATTTGTCTATGGGAAGATCTTTAGGCTGTGACTACCATGCGGTCACAAAGAGTTGGACACGACTAAATGACAACCATGCAATTTGCTGAGGTTATATTAGGAGTCAATTTTAAATTTTTTTTTTTCCTTCTGATCGTACGACACAGAAGTTGATTTGAATTGGTCTGGTCCTTTTCCCCTCCCAACCTGGCTTTTTTGCTCTACTGCTGGGGGCTTCTACTTCCTCCCCACCCAACCTGGAAGGATTCGAAAATGACTTTTCCCCATGTGATCAGTTCTAGCAAAGATGGAGGGACAGACATGTCTGTGGATGGTGTTTCAGTAACATAGGTAGCTGGGCATGATGTTCAGGACCACATCCAGGGCATTACATCCTTTATGGTTTCCCGATGAGGGAGATATTCTGGCTGAAGCCAGTTGGTTTCCCAGAAAACCACTAAAAGAGTCTTACAACATCTTCAAGATAATCATGGGTGGCTCTCCAAACACTGGACTATAACATGCTCACCATCCCCTGCCATTAGCTTAGACTGGCTAGTGGTGATGGGAGCTGCAGTCCAGTAAATATCAGAATGGTCTTAGGTTGCCAATTCCTGCTGCCCAATACTTAATTTCCTCTAGGATTCAAATATTGACACTCTTCCGAACCAACACCCCCACCCCCAATTGCAAGGTGTGATATTGCAAGAGTTGTAATGCAGAAAGGTTACTTATCCAAGCCACACTGGCTCCAAAAACAGTAATTTCTAATCTTTCTTTCTTCATGCCAGAGCATTATACAATTTAAAATTATGGACGTATATGAAATATAGGTAAAGCAAAAGTTAAAATATTAAGATCATTAGACTGTTTTTGACCTGAAGTGGGGTACAGTACTTCAATATTGTTCTCTGAGCTATTGGCTAGATCTTCTTTTGTCCACACGGTGGGGCATAAATAGCGTGCCCGTAAGAGCTGCATTGATTTAATTTCTCCACCATCACATAAAATTTGTCCCGTGTCCAAGTAGCCCTATTTTACTTAATTTCTAATTTTAAAAAAAATAATAGCTGTCCCAAACCCTGCCAGAACTCACCATTAGCCTTTCAAGGGCCGTTAAATCTTTTTGTTATTTTGGTTGCTAAAGGATTTGGCTGAGCAGAAGTCCTTCTACAGCTGCAGCCTGAGGGATCAGGGCCCTTCCCTTTAAGAAGCTAGAAAAGGTACATCATGCACACCCTAAAAATCCCACAAAATTCTGGGTAAAACTAACAGCAAGAGGGTCTGGGAAGAGATCCAGACTCCTTCTTTCATGAAGTGCCTGGAGCCCATTGACAAAGCCCACCCCCCCCCCAAATTCTTCATCCTATTTACCTTTCTTTTATTGGAAGACGAAGATGGCTTGCAGAAAGACTTAAGAATCAAGTTTCTTCTCCCACCGCCAAAGTTCCCGGCCCTGTAACTCAAAAGATTTTTGTGCCAAGAAGAAGAAATTTTAAAACAGAAGAGATTACCTCTGGGGGAGAAGGTGTGGGGGAGAGCCTGGAGTAGT